ACGTTCTATTGTACTAAAGAGAAAAAAGTAGTGTGTGTGTGTGTGTATTGAGTTGTTAAAAATATCCAATTTTCTGTTCCCTTTGATATTGAAAATATCTGAGTAGAAATGTTATTGGCGTGCATTTTAATTGTCTGCAATATGAATCTTTTTGTTTTTCCTTTATTTCTTGATATTACTCAGCTGTGAAATGGCAATTCATGTTGACACTTGCAATATACAGTGAAGCCTAATTAAAAGCAGGATGCTGAGAGAGCCTAGCAAGGAAAGTCTTTTACTAACTATGCAAAATGGCCTGGAGACTTGGTTTCTTTCTTTCTTTCTTTCTTTTTGAACTATTGTACTTAGCAATTACTTAATGTACAAGAAATGTCTAATGAAGCCAGTTGGCTCCAGTCAGATTTTATTTTAAAAGATGCACTAAAAGATTTTGTTTTTCATAAATGCAGCAATTATTATTCCCACTGAAACCAAATGGTCTAAGGATATGAAAGAATGTAAGAAAATGTGCACTGTGTACTTATAGTAAAGGGTTGAACAAGGTTATATTTACATTGGCAGTTTTGTCAGGGAGGACGAATCACTTTAAAGCAGCACACTAATCGGCTTTGGATTAGCTGTTTTTGATGTTTTTCCAGTACAAGTAATGTAACTTCCTTTTAAAGTGTTTAAAATATTAATAATGAATAAACGCACAGTAAGTACACAATGCAGAGTAATGCATTTTTATTACAGTAACAGCTGAAAATAATTTAGACAGTATATTCTGATTCTTTATCAAAAACATGTTTTTTTCCTTTAAAAGGGCACTGTTGCAAATCCATTTTGAGTTGACTGTTTAAAAATATAAATTCCATTGTACACAGGGAAACTATCTGATTTGAATAGATAGAATCTTCTTGGTTAATTAGATTAGAGCAAGTTAGGTGATATGATTTCCCCCCCACCTGCAAAACAAAAAGTCTGCAAAATTCGCTAGTTAAATTTTATGTTCAGGAACAATACTGTAGAATTTTTATGTAGACTAAGTATTTGTAAATTTGTATAAAATAGGAACATAATTCTTGCATTATGTAAGTTAAACACGCTTAGACCCACATGATTTTATTATTTAGACAGCAACAAAAGGGTGTGATGCATTTAATATGCCAGTAAAATATGGCCCTAGTTCAAGAAAGCTTGATGCATGTTTTACAAGATTGAGCTTTAAATTTGTATGTAACAAGACAAGTGAACACAAGAGAAATGAGATGGGGGAGAGGAGAAGGTGTGACAGGATTTATAGCTGGAAGGTTATGTGTCATGATTTAGGTGTGTATGTTAATGATTTGGGGGGGCGGAGGTATAAATACCATGAGGGATGTCAAAGAATGTGGGGGAGAAATGGAGCTTTCCAAGGGATAAAATGTAAATGTACATAAGAACATAAGAATGGCCGTACTGGGTCAGACCAAAGGTCCATCTAGCCCAGTATCCTGTCTACCGACAGTGGCCAGCACCAGGTGCCCCAGAGAGGGTGGACCGAAGACAATGATCAAGCGATTTGTCTCCTGCCATCCCTCTCCAGCCTCTGACAAACAGAGGCCAAGGACACCATTTTATCCCCTGGCCTTTTATGGACCTAACCTCCATGAATTTATCCAGCTTCTCTTTAAACTCTATTATAGTCCTAGCCTTCACAGCCTCCTCTGGCAAGGAGTTCCACAGGTTGACAACACGCTGTGTGAAGAAGAACTTTCTTTTATTAGTTTTAAACCTGCTACCCATTAATTTCATTTGGTGTTCTCTAGTCCTTATATTATGGGAACTAGTAAATAACTTTATCAGCCCTCTCCACACCACTCATGATTTTATATACCTCTATCATATCCCCCCTCAGTCTCCTCTTTTCTAAACTGAAAAGTCCCAGTCGCTTTAACCTCTCCTCATATGGGGCCCGTTCCAAACCCCTAATCATTTTAGTTGCCCTTTTCTGAACCCTTTCCAAGGCCAAAATATCTTTTTTGAGGTGAGGAGACCACATCTGTACACAGTATTCAAGTATTTATGGTTTGGTTTCTATATGTAGTGCATAGTGACAGATTGATCATCGGGCATTTCCAGTGTAGGAAGTATGATCTTATAGTAGATAGGGTGCTGAATTGAGACTCAGTACATCAGTGGTCAGTTTCCCACTTAGACACAGGTTTCCTGTGTGTCCAAAGTCATTTACTCTATCCTGTGCCTCATTTCTCTATCTGTAAAATGAAGATAATACTTCCTGGCTCATAGCCCTGTTGAGATGATAATATCTGTTAATAATTATGAGGCTCTCCAATACTATGGTGATGAGGGTCAGATAGATAGCTAGGAAGTAGGCTGGTTAATCTCCACATAGAATGGTTGCATGTGTCTTTGTGAAAAATCACAATAGTGGTACTGGAGTATGACAGACTAGTTCAGGTAAACATAGTCAAGGGCTTTGCGTTGATTTGATTCTCACTGAGAGGTTCTTTTGCTCCTTTCCATAGGTATGCTTCAGAAGTCGCCTTCTGTTGAAGACTTCGTGGATGCCCTTGTTTCAGACTTGGATCAGGACTTTGAAACATTCTTCATGGACTCTGAATAACATGGAGCTGAACTGATTGGTTTTATAGAGGACAGCACCAGTCTTAACAACGATGGACATAGTACTGCTGAAGCTATTTGTTTCTGCTTCTCAATGAACAGTCGTGAAAGAACAAAATGAAGATTCTTACCCATCCAGTCTTAAAATAAATAGTTTGTTTTAAGGGATTGTATGTGGTTTCATTTAAGAAGATGACAGGCTAAAGTTTCAAATGGTCTAGCATCAGACTGCTAGGAAAATGCTCTTTGACATTTACCTTATGAATGTGTGGCTATCTATAAATCTAGCCCTTCACAAAAATGGGTGGCAGGAATGAGACTTCTTTCAATACACAATTGTGGATATCCAGATTAGTGCAAAACTGTCATGACTTGGGGTTGTTTGTATAGTACCTTCTCACACCAGTACTTGTCAAGCTTTTTGACCCTGTTCTTTACAGAAGGCCATGAGATATTCTGCATCAGAGAGAGAGTGAAAATCAGCCTGAATTGCTATCCACAGAAGAGAAACTGGGGAGAAGTGGAGAAACCAGAGACATTATTGTTACAGGGGGAACTTTTATGGGGAATGGAATGAGGGACATGGAGCATATGAGGGGGATGGAGGAAAAAGGATATGGAGGGAAGAAATTTTTTGTGAGAGAGCATATATGAAGCAGATGATATTTTTCCTCTATTTCAAAATGGAGGAGTGGCATAGAGAGCAAGTCAGGAAAAGAGAACAAAGATTGAAGGTATGCCTACCGTATGCAGAAGAAAAATGCTGCTTTTCTTTAATTTTTTAAGTAGATTAAGATTGTATTGTATGGTGTTTGCTTTTTTCAGGTGTTTTGGTCTCTGCTGCTCCCTGATTGCATAATTCTGATTTTGAATGAGGTGTGTGGTTGGCTGGTCAGTTCATAACTCTGAGGTTCTACTGTACGTGTTCAGGGTATTTACCAGTGCTTAAATTGTTAGTACAATTATCCTATTCCTCTGATATTTAACTATTTTAATTTATGTGATTTAAATCATTAAGCCATATTTTAATTAAATATGAAATTTCTTAACCTAGCAAAATAACGGGTACATTTTCAACAGTGGTCAACAAGTTAACTCCTGGGAGCACAGTCTGTTTCACATTTACTGTATTATATTCTGTACTTAGTTCATCCCTAAAGAAGAAGTTCATCCCTAAAGAGGAAATGTGGGAAACTCTTTTAAATTTACCATACTGTAGTTAACCATTTTGTATAAACTAAATGAGAAATTATTAGGAACATTTAAACTATTTGCTCTGGATTTAGATGCCAACACCTACCACCCACATGTTATGTATACTCAGCCTTCTCATAGGATACCATAATACGCATTGATATTTTTCTACTAAATTAGATGGAATACGTGGGCCAAAAGTGTTATAACTCATTATCTGGATGGGCCGTTATATTCAACACCCAAATGACATCAAAAGCGAAGAACCGGACACTTACAGCCCACTCATTTAGCACGGACCTCATTTAGCATGGACACTTTGACAATTTTTTTTCTCCTCCTCCTATCCCCTCTTTTTCTGTTTTACATTTGGGGGTTTATGTGCTCCTCTGTGCACATTTGTCTGAAAATGGGTGACAGGAGGGATCACGTGTTGGTTACCTGATTTGTTCTCTCCCTCTGAGCCATCTGATATTGGCCATTGTTGGCAGACAGAATACTGGGCTAGATGGACCTTTGGTCTGACCCAGTATGGGAGGCATTATGTTCTGTGCCTCTTGCTCCACTCATCTGAAGGAAGTGGGTTGTGCCCACAAAAGCTCATGATAAAAAAAATTTTTCTTAATCTTTAAGGTGTTACAGGACCACTCATTTTTTAAGGCTTTTTTCAGTTACTGTATGACATTAAACAGTGTTAAACATGATCCAGGGTTCAGTAAGCAGAGGCCCTCAGGCAGCTTAGTACCATGGCAAACACGCTATTAAGCAGTTTTTAACCTTTTATGAATGAAATAGAAAAGAAGAAAAATCAGCTAAAACACATGTAAATGTACAGT